TGAAATTAAAAGATGCTTGCTCCTTGGAAGAAAATCTATGACCAAACTGGACAGCATATTAAAAAGCAGAGACATTGCTTTGGCCTACAAAGGTCTGTCTAGTCAAGGCTATGGTTTTTCCAGTGGTCATGTATGGATGTGAGAGTTGGACTATAAAGAAAGCTGAGTTCTGAAGAATTGATGCTTTTGAACTGTGGTGTTGGAGAAGACTCTTGAGAGTCCCTTGGACTGCAAGGATATCCAACCAGTCCATCCTAAAGGAGATCAGTCCTGGGTTCTCATTGGAAGGACTGATGCTGAAGCTGAAACTCCAGTACTTTGGCCACCTGATGCAAAGAACTGACTCATTGGAAAAGACCCTGATGCTGGGCAAGATTGAAGGCGGCAGGAAAAGGGGATGACAGGAAGACATGGTTGGATGGAATCACCGACTTCATGGGCAGGAGTTCGAGCAAACTCTGGGCGTTGGTGATGGACAGGGAGGCCTGGCACGCTGTGGTCCACGGGGCAGCCAACAGTCGAATATGACCGAGAGACTGAACCGAGCTGAGCTGAAAAAGCCCGACCTGCCTGCTAGAGATCCGCGCTGAATCATATTGCTCTCATGATCCTGCATCCAAGCTCTCTAATTGTGTATTCAAAGCAAATGCATTATTTAAACAATAATACACTGTCTGTTAGTTCCTGGCTGGGTTAATGGTTGGCTAAAGCAATTACAGGGCCCCAGGGAGGGACTTGCAGAAGAAGCGCTGAGACGCAGAACCAGTTGATATGCACCTCTTCTTTATGGTGGGAATTAAAGGTTTTTATACACTGTTCTGGGCTTCCCTGGAGGCTCAGATGGTAGAGAATCTGCCTTCAGTGCAGGAGACTTGGGTTCGATCCCTGGGTGGGGAAGATCACCTGGAGAAGGGGATGGCTACTCACTCCAATATTCTTGCCTGGAGAATTCCATGGTCAGAGGAGGCTGGCAGGCTACAGAGTGTGGGGTTGCAGAGTCAGACATGACTGAAGCGGTTTACCGCACATGCACACAAGCTGGTTGGCTTTACGTGTGCCTGATTCTCACAATCACAACACGGTGTGATACACAAATCATATCTCATTTTAAAATTCCTGTAACGGCGTCCACCATTCATCAGTGCCTTCTACATTCTAAACTATTTGCTAAGCATTTTTTACATCTCATCTCCTCAAGGATTTAATAAAGAAGTTTAGTTACTCTTGCTTACACTGAGGAGATTATTTGTTCACACTGTATGAAAGTAAGAACTGGCCCTGGGCCTTGAACCTGAGTCTGGCCATCCAGGCTGTGAGGACATGGAGCTACATCCCAGATTTCCTGAAGCTCCTCGACTTCTAGGAGCCACGCTGATGGGTGGGTGTCAGCAGGGCTGGCATTCATCCTCGTCTAGTCAGGAGGGCTCCAGCTTGCACTTGTTGCCCTGGAATTACTGTTGGAGCTGCTCTGTTGGTATGATAAAGTGTCAGGTCCCTGGGCTGTTGTCAGTGAGCTGAGCCTCAGTTTCTGCCCCGAGTGCTGGCCTCTGCTCAGCAGGGCGTCGGGGCAGAGCAGGGAGAAGCCCAGGGCTCCTGCCGGACAACGCGCCTTCCAGGGGCGCCTCCTGCGAGTCTCAGGCCGCGAAGCTGACGTGAGATGGAGCCGAAATTCGCCCCAGTGCTCCCAGGTCTGTGAGAGGCTAGCCTCGGCACGGCCTACGTAACAACGTTGTGGTGGACACGCTCCCTGGAGTGTGGTCTCAGACCTAGACTGGCCTCTGGCCGGCCACGTGTGACAAGTATGGGGACGGCCACTCCCGGATGGGTCACATTATACAGGGCTCTGTCTCAGCAGACTGGGGCAATGGGGGCTCTGTGTGGCGGAGAGAGGGGCAGAAACATGGTGGTCTCCTGGGGCCGAGAGAGGGGGTCCCAGCTGAGCACTGGCAAGATGATCGAGGCTTCAGCGCCGTAAGTATAGGGGGCCGGGTCCGCAGACAGTGCGACTGAGCTGGGGGCGCATCCTTCTCCAGCTGAGTCTCTGACGAGGCTGCATCCTCGGTCAGCAGCTGCGATGTGGCCTGGTGGTCCTGCACTAGAGCGTTAGGCTAGCCTGTGCTTGCACATACGACCTACAGAAGCGAGGCGGCAGTGAGTGGGTGTTGTTTTGAGCCATTTGCCGCCCTGGTCACAGCCAGTCAAGCTCAGCTGAGTGTCCACCCCACGCCGTTCTGTTCTAACCCCGCCTCCTCCAGCATCAGCCTCTTCTCCAGAGACCTCCAGCTGCAGGCGGTGTCCCGGACCTCCCACCTGGGTTGGGCCAAGGGCTTTATCCTTGCAGCAGTCAGATCAATTACTTCAAAGGGTGAAACTGAGCAGGTCCTTCCCATATTGAGGCCACCTTCATCCTCAGGGTCAAGTTTAAACACAATGATGTAGTTTAGGAGCCAGTGTACCACCAAACCCAGATGACCTCCACCCTCTTCAAGCCATCCCGACAACTTCAGTCAACCTGGCTTTGTCTGTGACCTTTCAGTGACCCTACCCACCTGACATTCGTCTGTTGCTTCCTAATTCTCTGGTAGGAGAGTGAAAGAGCCAGTTTAAGACTAAATATTAAAAAAAAAAAAAAAAAAAACCTAAGATCATGCCATTTGGCCCCATTACTTCAGGAAAAATGGAAAGGGAAAACGTGAAAGCAGAGACCGATTTCCTCTTGGGCTCCAAAATCACTGAGGACGGTGACTGCAGCCATGAAACCAGAAGACAATTGCTTCTTCGCAGGAAAGTGATAACACACCTAGACAAGGTGTTGAAAAGCAGAGACTGTGCTCTGGCAACAAAGGTCCGTATAGTCACGGCTACAGTCTTCCCAGTGGTCACATTTGGTTGTGAAAATGTGTTGTGAAAATGGCTGGACCATAAAGAAGGCAGAAGGCCAAAGAATTGATGCCTTCAAACTGTGGTGCTGGAGGAGACTCCTGAAATTCCCTTGGACGGCAAGGAGATCTAACCAGTCAATCTTAAGGGAGATCAGCCCTGAATACTCATTGGAAAGACCGATGCTGAAGCTGAAGCTCCAGTATTTTGGTCATCTGAAGGGAATAGAGAGTTCATTGGAGAAGTCCCTGATGCTGGGAAAGACTGAGGGCAGAAGACGAGGGCATCAGAGGATGAGATGGTTGGATGGCATCACAGATGAAATGAACATGAACTTGAGCAAACTGCGGAAGATGGCGAAAGACAGGGAGGCCTAGGGGCGGGGGTGCAGTCCATGGGGTTGCAACGAGTTGGGCACGATGGGGCGACTGAAGAACAGTAAGTTCTCTGGTCTCACATGGGGCACCAGTTCTCCCAGGAGCTGAGCTTTTCTAAACTCCCCTCCTGACCTGTGGACCCCTGGACTGAGCTCCTTGCCTCTCTAGTCCTTCTCTATGTGAGCAGCCATTTCACTGCACTGGCATTTTTTGTCCCCCTGAATTAGCCAGGGTTCATCAGGGTACAGAACCCACAGGATGGTACAGAGCAGGCTGGGCTTATCAGAATCAGAACAGGCTTTTCTGTTATGAGGCAGGTGTGCATACACACATGTGCCTGTACCTGTGTGCACACACACACCTCTGGCCACACTTGGCTGCCCTGGTAATAGACGGTCCACACCCCCTGCAACTCTGCACATTTTCACAGTCTTCACACTCAGTGTTCACTTTCTCCCCCCCCAAGCAGGGCTGCCAGACCGCGGGCTGTTAATGAGCTGGCAGCTCGGAACGTCATTAGGGGCCCTGAGGACGGTGGCTCTGGGTGGCTCAGGTGCCCAGATCGCCCCCTGCCCCGCGCGGCACAGGTGCTGGGCAGCGCGGCTCCTCTTTCGCTGATTCCCCCAACGTGATAGCAAGAGTCGATGCTTAATGATGATGAGTTGAATTGCTCCTATCCAAAGTGGATGGACTGGCAGCGTGCTGGAAACTGAGCGACCCCGGATGCCGGCTAAGAAAACAAAAGTAATCGGATTACACGAGGAAAATGAGATAAACATTCATTAAAATTACAGTCACAGGCTGTGATGGACGAGCCGGCAGAGGAGCGTGGCGGGCCCCAGGGCTCCCCTGCCAGGCCGAGGGTCCTGAGTGCCCCCCGTCGTGAGGAATGCCCTCACCGCTCAGCTCAGGGGGGAGGTGTCTGGTTTCCCTAAAGGTTCTTCTAAGAAGCCTAACCTTTTAAAGGTAACTTTACTTTTTCAAGATCAGCTCTCAAAAATGTTCCAGTGGAACTAAGACCTTCCAGATGGAGAACACTTTTTAAAATCATTTTCTTTGGGATCCGTAATTCTGGACGTTTTGAAGGAGTTAAAGTCCAGCCCCCTGAGCCCCCGCCCTCAGCACCCTCGGTCCTGGGTGTCCTTGGGAGGGCAACCACTGTTATGCCAACGTCCACACACCCCCAGACCCTCAGTTATGGTGACACATAGAAAGTTCCTAGAGTGGGAGGGAGACCACCTGGCCCCGAGGGTCCTTGGTTCTGTCCTTCTTCAGATTCACCAAACTCAGCAGACGGGCTGGTAAGCGGCCTGAGGCCTCTGGTGAAGTGGCACCCGGCTAGGCTGGTAGCAGTCACTGCCAGCTAAAGCCTCAGGTGTGTCCATCACTCTCACCCAGCTCCGGACCGAGGCCACGACACGACCTCTGCAAGCCAGCCCTCCGGGGGTAGCAGCCCAGGCCTCTCAGAACCGTGTCTATGGCTCGAGGACGTCAGAGCGAGGGTCCTCCTCGCAGAACCAGCTCTGCAGGCCGCCCGTGGGCATCAGAGAAGCACCTATGAGACACGGCCCTTCCTGCCTCATCCGCTGAGCCCAGGCCTCGGGCAGAGGGGCTGGACGCTGTCCTGGAGGAGGCCACACAGGGCCACTGAGGGGGAACCGGCGTCCACCTGCGCGCCCACTGGGGGCTCCCAGTGTCCAGCGCTCTCGGCCCTTCCTGGACCCCACTGTGTGACTCTCGCAGGACGGACACAGCAGGGAGCCCGGGAGGAGGGAACCGGGACGGGGCTGGACTGGCCGGGAGAACCCGCTCTGGCCCTCTGGTGAGTCCCGCGAACTTGAGAGAGGCCATTGCAGAGCTGCAGTCTTCTCATCTGTGCAAGGGTACCTCCTGGGTCCCCGGAGGGCGAATGAAGTACCACAATGCCGAGGGGCCAGTGAAACGCAGAGACCGGGAAGCAGTGACCAGCGTCTGTGCATGAGACGCTGACCCCGGTGAGAGTGACCACAGGAGCGTGATGTGCAGGGTGAGCTGGTGGGGACGTGAAGGAGGTGCCTTAGAAACTAACAGTAGAGCCGCCATATGAGAGAGTCCCAGGGGCTGTGTAGTCCATGGGGTCGAAAGAGTCGGGCATGCCTGAGGGAGTCTCATATACAGACACACACACACATGATCCGGCAATCTCACTCCTGGGTGTATATCCAGACCAGACACACACACACATGATCCGGCAATCTCACTCCTGGGTGTATATCCAGACCAGACACACACACACATGATCTGGCAATCTCACTCCTGGGTGTATATCCAGACCAAACCATGACTCAAAAAGACATATGCACCATTGTTCATAGCGCTACTATTTACAATAGCCAAGACTTACAATCGCCAAGACCTGGACATGAGTTTGCGTAGGCTCTGGGAGTTGGTGATGGACAGGGAAGCCTGGCGTGCTGCAGTCCATGGGGTTGCAAAGTCAGACACGACTGAACTGAACTGAACTGAAGACTTGGAAGCAACCAAAATGTGCGTTGATAGAGGAATAAATAAAGAAGATGGGGTACATATATACAATGGAATACTACTCAGCTGTAAAAAGGATGAAAATGCAATTTGCAGGAACATAGATGGATAGAGAATATCATACTAAGTGAAATAAGTCGGAGAGAGAGAGGCAAACACTGTATGATATTATTCATATGTGGAATCTAGAAAATGACACAAATGAACAAATTTACAAAGCAGAAACAGACTCATAGACATAGAAAACAAAATTCCAATAAAGGAAGGGGGGATAAATTAAGAGTTTGGGACTAACAGATACACTTTAATGTATGTAAAGTAGATGAGCAACAAGGACCTACTGTATAGCACAGGGAACTGCATTTGGTATCTTGTAATAACTTATAACGGAAAAGGATGTAACTCACTGGAAAAGATTCTGATGCTGGGAAAGATTGAAGGCAGGAGGAGAAGAGGCATCAGAGGATGAGGCAGTTGGATGGCATCACCGACTCTATGGATGTGAGTTTGAGCAAACTCTGGGAGATGGTGAAGGACAGGCAAGCTTGGCATGCTGCAGCCCATGGGGTCATGGAGTCACAAAGAGTCACACAAGACTTGGCGGCTGAGCAGCAACAAGATATAAAGTATAACTGAACCATTTTGCTATGCACCTGAAACTAACGCAATCTTGTCAGTTAACTTTATTTCCACTGAGAAAAGAGAATTGTGACTGTAAAGTGCAGGCGTCTTTCTGTTGCTGGGGGAGAGGCCAGACGTGTCCTGAGCCCCCAGGGTCCTGGGGGCCAGAGTGACTTGCAGAGGCACCCAGGGGCACTTTTATCCTGGTGAATCACCTCCCCCCACAACACCATTGGCTTCATGCCTCCGGGCAGCATCCCTTCCCTTCCTGGCTTTTCTCCTGGAGGTGGAGTTGGGAGGGAGGACTTTACCTGACCCCGGGACAGCGCACCTGAGGTCTGCTCTCCTCCTGATGGGGACTTGGGGGTCTTCATGCGCTCTGATCACGTCAGCCTGAATGGATACCCCGCCCCCACAACAAGCCTCCGGGTTACCATGGAGGCTGTCACCTGGGAGACCGTCACCCAGCAAAGGTGACCTGCAGTGTTCTGCCTGCCTGCCGTGGTCTGTCCCGCCCTCCTGGGTGCTCCCAAAGGATGCATCTGGCCCCCGGTGATGACATGGTCTCCACCCAGACAGGGGCGACTGTGAGCGGCACCAGGGCAGGACTGAGCCAGACTGTCCAGAGAATAGCTCTCGCAGCCAATCCTCAGGGGAGTCTCGTGTACGGATGTCACCCACTGGGTCCCAGACTGAGCCTCCAGCCCGCCTTTGTCCCGGATACACCCTCCCCGGCCTGCGTCTGGATTCCCGGCGCCCTGGGGACCCTCCCACAGTGTGTGTGTCCCCCGCGTGGACAACAGGAACCCAAGGCCATGTAGGGATGAGTGGAGCCCCTGAGCAGCTGGCCCGACGCGGTCCTGGCCCTGAGCATTTGCAAGCAGGAGCTTCTGCTTTCTACCCTCAGACCGTCACATCTTCTGCCTTCTCCTGGAAGAGGCGGTCACGTACAGTCTCCTTGGTCTTAGGGGATTTGGAGACAGGCTGGAGCTGGCGCAGCGGCAGGCAGCATGCCCAGTGACTGCTCTACAGGGAATCTGAAAAGGGGAAAGAATGTTTTAAAATGTGTAAACAAATACAAACACAACCTAGACTTTTTCATGATATTCTAAAGAAGACCACACTGCTTACCCCACATGTGTCATTTTTGCCATAAACTCCACAGAAAACTGGAGGTCGGGCTGTAATCATCATATATCTAAGCCAAGAATATTTATGCATAATTTGCTTCCATTATGTTCAGTCTTACGCGGTGATTCATGAATCAACTGCTGAGCTTCATCTTTCACAGCCTGCCTGCCCTACCAAGGTCAGACGATGCCGTGCTGGCTCTGAGCACGCAGGGGCAGCCACCTGGCCCCGCAGGCTGCCGGGAGGCCCTTTCTTCTCAGTGAAGAGCTGGCTGTGCCCGCGGTCAGCAGGGGATGCGCTTTGCACCTGGGAGGAGCTGTGACAAATTCTCCGGTGGAAGATGCTGTGAGACAGGCTCATTCTTCTGCATAAAAGTGGCAGATCCTGAGAAGGAAAACAGGATAGGCACTGGTAGGCTGGAAACTGCATCAGCACGTGGGCTGGATGGCATGCTTGAGGGGCCAGAGGTGCTGCCCCGAGCTGGGAGCCGTGGGCATGGCAGGTCTGTGTTCCGTGGGGGCTCTTACCTTCCTGCCACTGCCGTGTCCTGGGTCCTCTGAGGGGCTCACTGCACACTCAGGGATGCTGAGTCCCTGAAAGACCTTTGGCTGAGGTTTTATCATCACTCTTGTTCACACAGGAAACGCCACCTGTGGGAACGAAGGTTGACATCTCTGTAGTTTCACCATTTCTACCAAGCCTGTGGGATAAAGCAGCACTTCTCTAAGAATCCCCTTCTGAAAAACTAATCTATACCTCCTCCAGTGAAGGATCTGCCTCCAGGTTGATTCACTGAGGAGGATGCATTCGCGTTTAAACCCATGTCCTGAACATGCAGCTGGCAGGGTCCCCAGCAGCACCCAGGGCGCCGGCCCACATTGCTGCTTTTCAGTCGCTAAGTTGTGACTGACTCTTTGCGACCCTATGGACTGCAGCACACCAGGCTTCCCTGTCCATCACCAACTCCCAGAGCTTGTTCAAACTCATGTCCATTGAGTCGATGATGCCATCCAACCATCTCATCCTCTGTCATCCCCCTCTCCTCCCGCCTTCAATCTTTCCCAGCATCAGGGTCTTTTCCAATGAGTCGGCTCTTCACATCAGGTGGCCCAAGTATTGGAGCTTTAGCTTCAACCTCAGTCCTTCTAGGGAATACTCATAATTGATTTCCTTTAGGATGGACTGGTTGCATCTTCTTGCAGTCCAAGGGCCTCTCAAGTTTCTTCTCCAACACCACAGTTTGAAAGCATCAGTTCTTCAGTGCTCAGCCTTCTTTGTGGTCCAACTCTCACATCTGTACATAACTACTAGAAAAATCATAGCTTTAACTATATGGACCTTTAACTATATGGGCTAACTCTATGTCAATGTCAACAAAGTGATGTCTTTGCTTTTTAATACGCTGTCTATGTTTGCCATAGCTTTCCTTCCAAGGAGCAAGCGTCTTTTAATTTTATGGCTACAGTCACCAACCGCAGTGATTTCAGAGCCCAGGAAAATGAACCTGTCACTGCTTCCGCTTTTTAACCTTCTATTTGCCTTGAAATGAGGCTGTAAATGACGCAGGTGCCGTCTGCCTTTCCCTCATGAGTGGCCTCCGACTCCGGTCTTGTGGTGAGACTCCAGGGCTGCATTTGGAGCGCTTTTCAGTTGGCAGGGACCACGGCCATACCTCCAAGGCACAGAAACTCCAGGGCGTGGAGCGGGGAGGCCCAGGCGCATGGCCTCAGGCTCAGCCCAGACGCAGCGGTGGCCACCGTGGTCTCGCCGTGGCTGTGGGAAGGGACCCCGGGAATGCCAAGCAGGACCTGCTGAGCTACAGGGTGGTCTCGGGCACCTGCTCGGCTCCAGAGCCCACGGGTCCCAAGTCGTGCTCTTCTTGGCCTTCTGCGGAGGCCTTTGGTCCTGTGTCTGTAGGACACGTGGGGTGGGGACCAGGAGCCCCTTCTGTCTGCCCCTCCTCACTCAGCTCTGCCCTGACTGAAGCTGGAGGGCGGTGTCTGAAGCCTCCCAGCTTGTTGGAGGCAGGGCGGCTGCTGGACGGGGCAGCGGGGGTCTCTAGGGGCTCTGGGAAAGTTGATCAGAGCCTCTCTAGGGCTGCTCTCCCGTCCACCCTCCATGCAGCCTGCCCCGGGGCCCGGCTCCAGGGATGGAAGGACAGACACCTCGAGTCCATTGCCCTTCCCTGGATGGTGGGACTTCCAGCTGAAACCTACTGACCACAGGTTCACCAAGAAGCACCAAGATTTCACCAGCCAAATGGCCAGAGACCCAAACTGCTGCTTCGAAGCCCCTTTCTCGGCTGGGGACATCATCCCCTCCATGTAGGGCGGATGCAGTGACAGGACCCCAACACGGGAGGCCCTCCGCTCCCCCATGTCTCCCCTGAGCAGTGGACGGCCCCCTGCGGAGGGACCAGTGCAGAGACCCCTGCTCCACGTGCTCGGCCTGTGGGAAGGGGAGACGTGAGCCGCACACGGTCCCCAGAGAGGAAGTCCCTCCCCGTCATCGTGAGTGGGGTGCCCTGCAGCCCCCCATCCTACAGAGCGAGGGGACTGGGACCCCCGAGCTGGGAGAGGGTGCTGGAGTCCAGACCCCACCCCGTCTCCAGCCCAGGATATACCACCCACAGCAGGCCGCTGGCTGTTCACACAGGACTGGATGCACTTTTGTATTAAAAAAAAAAAACTAAAACAGCCTCATTACTGCACAGACAGTCTCTCCCACCTCTCAGCCTCCTGTGGGGTCATCTACCTCAAGAGCAGGCTCCCCAGCAGGTGCTGGGGCACCCCCCCCCACCGCCTTTATTAACCTGGCGGGTTGCAGAGTCACAAGCCATACGCAGGCGGAGGGAGCACCTCTCATAGTTGGCGGGAGCTCTTTGCCCCTTGACCTGACTGACCTCAGGTCAAGGTGAATGTCGTTGCCCTGAAGTCAGGACCTAGGACTGCAGATGGTGGCTCTGCAGACGTCCCGTCGGGGCATCGAGGTGCGGCGAGCAGCACCCAGGCCCTGGGCAGGCCCTTGCAGCCCGTCCGGAAAGTCGATGGACTTCTCTCAGCCTCGTGTTCTCAGGATCCCAGAGGAGAGGAGCCCCATCCCTGTTTACACGGGATCATCTCTGAAACCTGACCACCTGCTGCCCCCGGATCTTATGCCTGGGGCTCAGGGACGCGGGGCCGGGACTGAACGCGTCGTGGCCGCAGACCCCCAGGGCGAGGGGCAGGCAGGACTGGGGTGGACCACACATGGGCCCCGACAGAGATCCCGGCTACGGGCAAGCGCGTCTGTGGCTCCCGGCGGGCAGGCGTCTGGGCCGAGTTTCGCCGGGTGCGCGGGGGGCCGGATGATGCCCGTGGTGAGGGAGCCGGTGTCTCAGCCCCGTCTGAAGGTCACCTGCAGTCCACCTGCTTCCAGGTGTTGCCGAGGCTGGAACATCTGGTCATGGGGCACACGTGGGTCCGGGTCATCCATTTTTCTGCGGCTGCTGATTGGGCCTGTGGTGGGAGGACGTCTGCTGGAGTGGGTGGGGGTGCAAGCGAAGAGGGCAGCCCCATCGACCATGAAGATCCCCGAGCTGAGGGGTGCCGGGGGCACGGGGGTGCCCGAAAGCCGCTTCCAAGGACGCGGCCCCGCTCGCCCTTCTGCTCTTTTTCTCCCAAACGCCCTCTTCCGCGTCTGCTTCTTCTCCTCTGCCGCCGCGGCTGTGTCTTCAGGCCTCAGATCCTGCCCAAGTGCCCAGAGACACAGCCAGGCGGGTGGGGGCACCAGCAGCTGCCCCCCACCCCCAGCACCCCCCACCCAGTCAGGCCCCTCCCGGCGGCTCAGAGGGCGCCCTCGTCACCTGCCCGCCCGGTTACCGTGACGCAGCCGGGGGCCCCGAGCTTCAGCCCACATCCCGGGGACAGGGAGGGCCCTGAGCCTGGAGGGTCCTTCGCTCCTGTCTGTCTGTCCGTCCCCCTGTCTGTCCACTGCCCACAGCACCCCATGGTCATGCTCTGCCCCCTAGTCATGGAGCCGCTGCGACTGTTCCCTCTGCCCGTTCAGCCTGAGGTCCACCCGGCTGAGTCATGGTCCCCAGCCGGTGTGGACATCCCAACACTGACCGTCTCGCGGCTGACTCATATTGATGCAGTACTGTGAAGCGATTACCCTTCAGTTAACAGTAACTAAGGGTGGGATGATCTGAGAGAACGGCATTGAAACATGTACATTACCGTATGTGAAACAGATCACCAGCCCAGGTTCGATGCCTGAGACAGGTGCTCAGGGCTGGTGCACTGGGACGACCCTGAGAGATGGGATGGGGCGGGAGGTGGGAGGGGGTTCAGGATGGGGACGCATGCACACCCATGGCTGATTCACGTCAATGTATGGCAAAACCACCACAATATTGTAAAGTAATTAGCTTCCAATAAAAAATAAATTAAAAAAATAAATTAATTAAAAAATGAAACTTGTAGGTGGGTATTCCCTTTGGGGAGATTTTTTTCAAGAAACAAGGTTTTTTTTTTCTGTCTGCTCTGCAGGACATGCCGTCAGCCCTTAGCTGCTTGCTGTGTGACCTGGGATCTCGGCATCATGCATTTTCTGGGTCTCTTAGCTCAGAAGTCTGAGCGTCAGTTTGATCTTCATTGGCATCAGCCCCAGAGCCAGTGACCGGCTCCCCACTTTCTGTAACGAGGGCCCCAAGCTGAGGCTCAGCGGCCCCGAGGAGGCCGGGCTCCTGGCCCAGGGCAGACGTTCCGTGTGGGTTTGTCAGGGATGAGCTCGGCAGACTTAGCTCTCTTCTGGCAAGAACAGCCACTTGACAATGAGCAGATCTGGGATTTCTCCCCTTCAGAAAGTGAAATGACTTTAATGGCACAGAGAACTCGGGGTCTTCTTTGGAAAGGGAAGATACCCCAAAATTAAAGCACAAAATAGACACCTCCACCGATCTGAGGTCGCCCCCAGGCCGAACCCCAGGGGTACTGCTGACGGCCACCACGTGGGCTTTCATTTCCCAGGATTTTCCAAAACCACTAAGGCGGCAGGAAGAGGGGACCAAGAAATGGGAGACCTCGCGCCCCGCCCGTCCAAAAGAACACCCAGGATGGTGCCCGGCCGGTCCTCGCCCCTGGCTTCCCCACCCCCACACTGCGGTAACGAATCTCCTTTGCGCAGCATCTGGGGAGCACCAAGACCTCGGAGACATCTCTTTCAGGCTCCAGGAACTCTGCACAAAACCTGGCCCCTGAGGACAATGGACAGGTAGGTTCTGACCACCTGGGTCCCTGCTTGGGGGAGCAGGGCTCGCAGTGTGGCGGACGCTGAGACAGGAAGAAGGCAGAAAGGGGTCCAGCCCTGCCTCCTCCACCCCCAGGCTCAGCCGCTGAAGTGGACATCCCCCCAGTCCGGCATCATCTGTAACATGTGGGAGGTTGTCCATATCTATGATTATTTGTTTTATCCTGACAGCATGCACAAGGTTTCTGGGTCAAAAGGTGGATGATGCATGCTCTTACACCATGCCTGTGTGCCCCGATCCCTGGGGAGAGGCAGAGCGGGCAGAAGTCCCCTGCAGGGGAGGAGCCTCAGGGCCTCTGTCGGACTGTGCAGGGCACATCGGGGGCCACGGCGTGCCTTTTCTCACCGATACGCACTGCTTCTAAAATGCAAGAAAAAGGAAGAACTGGGGGAGGGACAGAGGGAAGGAGGGACAGAGGGAAGGAGGGAAAGAGAGAGAGGAAGAAAGAAAGAAAGAAAAGAAAAGAAAGTGTAATCCAGAATGACTCAGCTGAAGCAGACAAGAGTTAAAAAACCACGACCCCCGTTCTTTCCTCTCAGCCAGCCCCGGCTCTCAGCGCCTGGCTGCGGGGCGTCCTGGTTCAGGGGCTTCCCTCACAGCTCAGTTGGTAAAGAATCCATCTGCAATGCATGAGACCCTGGTTCGATTCCTGGGTCGGGAAGATCTGCTGGAGAAGGGATAGGCTACCCACTCCAGTATTCTTCCACTTCCCTTGTGGCTCAGCTGGTAAGGAATCCCCTGCAATGCAGGAGACCTGGGTTCGATTCCTAGGTTGGGAAGTTCCCCTGGAGAAGGGAAAGGCTGCCCACTCCTGTATTCTGGCGTGGAGAATTCCATGGACTCTACAGTCCATGGGGTCACAAAGAGTCAGACAGGACTGAGTGACTCTCACTTTCTGTGCTCAGACTCTCCCGGCAGGTGGAATGGGGAGGGGTCTTGTGCCCCCTGCTTTCCTGCCGGGCAGCAGCACCAGCCAGAAAGCCGCCCACCCGCCCACCCTGCAGGGACGTCTCCTCACCCCGCTCGGACAGGCCCAGCCCGGGGTGGTGCCGGATCCAGCCGCTGTGGTTCCGGCAGAAACAGGCCAGCGCCCAGCCCGCCCCATTGACAGCCTGCGGCCGGCGCGGGGGCCTGGCTCCGCACTGCAGCACCCCGGACAAGCTGCCATCTTCTCGGTCCTGGACCATTTTTACTTTTCAGAGGGGGAGTCAGGATCCAGTCTCCGCAGAGACGCAGCGGAGCTGGCTGAGAGCGCCTCAAATACGGGGTAAGTGCCGTTGGTGGTGAGATTCATGAGGGTGGTGTGAGCCACCAACAGGCTCTATTGAGCTGCAATTGCTAACTTAATGGAGAGGAAACTTGAAAGTGGGTTGGACCTCCAAGGGGGCACAGGTGGACGCCGGGCTTTCGGGACTCTGCCCTCGGCACTCTCTCACTCGTGGCTCAGAAGCCAGGCAGAATCCCGGACCGTGGCCTGTTCCAGCGAGACCCGAGCGTGAGCCCCGACGTCCCCCACTCAGAGCACGTCTCTCCACTGATGGCTGTTTCTCCAGAGCGGGGAGCCGGACCCAAGCTCCCCTCTGCAATCAGCCCAATCCATCCGTCACTCAAGGCATGGTTCGGCCCACAGATGTGCCAGGGATGCGGGAAGGCACGACCGGGAGGAGGGGCCTGGGCTCCCCCGGAGCTGCCTCGCAGACAGCGGGTCCTGAGGGCCCCCAGCCTGCATCCTGCACGGCCATCCTCAGCCCCCAGCCTGCATCCTGCACGGCCATCCTCAGCCCCCAGCCTGCATCCTGCACGGCCATCCTCACGCTCACCGACTAGGATCGCTGTAAAACCCCTCACCCGCCAGACACAGGCCCGCACTCGGTCCTGCCACTACACACACCTCCCGGGTCCACGCTGTGATGAGTGCGTGGGCTCCCCACCTCCCCACGTGCCCTCGTTTCTCTCTAGCCCTCCAGACCCTCGGGTGGGGCTGTGCCACGTACTTCTGCGTGCTTATCCGAGCTTTCCATGTGAAGGCTCACTTCAATCCGCTCTCAGTTTCCCACCTCTGTGGAGACGCCCCCTTCTCTGGTGAACGTCTGCAGCTGGGCAGTGATCTGATGTCAATGCGATCTTAGGAATCCCTCCAACACCAGGCGGGTCCATCCCTGTCAGCACCTCTCCATGCCCTCCATGGCAGGCTCTTCTGTCTCCTTAGAGACCTCCCCACAGACCCCGCTTCCCACGAGTAAGGGCAGGACAGCCAGGTCCGTCCTAACACCCTGCCCGGGGAGGGGTTGGGGCCTAACACCCTGCCCAGGGAGGGGTCGGGACCCGCCCCTTCCACCTCCACCCTCAGTTCACATCAGGGGACACGCGGGTAATTAGAAATGTGCATTCAAAGCCTAGTTAAGGTACGAGTCCGTGGTTGCGAGCTCAGACCCTCTACACGTTTGCTCCTCACCCGTTCACCTAGGTCTGTGGAAAATGACCCTCAGCTCATGTGCCACTTTCTAAAGCGCTGCATTTCCCTGAGAGAAGCTGAGTCTCCTGAAGCAAGGCCGGATCACGAGCTACGCAGAGGGGTGAGTGTATTTATGCACATGTCGCACTCACGCCCTGTGTAGGATGCACTGTATCTCGATCAGAAACTCGGAAACAGTGCACTCGCTTATCTAAGCTGTCCTGTTGGAGCACAAGACTGCCGTATTAGAAAATTAATACTTCTAATTACTGAATTAAAACAAGACTATAACCAGCCTTTCCTCTTCATGGATCGCAGCCTTGTTGTGGTGAATGGGCTGGCGTAACTCAGTGAAGCTCTGAGCCGTGCCGTGTGGGGCCACCCGAGACGGACGGGTCACGGAGGGGAGTTCTGACAAAACGTGGTCCCCTGGAGGAGGGAATGGCAAGCTGCTCTAGTACTCTTGTGGCGAGAACCTCAGGAACTGTAGGAAAAGGCAAAGAGGTTTGACACTGGAAGATGAGCCCCAGGTTGGAGGTGTCCAATACGCTGCTGGGGGAGAGCGGAGGGCAGTCACTAATAGCGCCAAAAAGAATGAAGCGACTGGGCCAAAGCAGAAACGACGCTCAGCTGTGGATGCGTCTGGTGGTGAAAGTAAAGTCTGATGCAGTAGAGAACAGTATTGCAGAGGCGTCCCTGACTCGGTGGACATGACTTTGGGCAAACTCCAGGACGGAGGAGGCTGGCATGCTGCAGTCCCTGGGGTCGCACAGAGTCAGGCACGACTGAGCGACTGAAAAACAACAAACAGCTTTCAGCAGAGCCATGACATGGTCCCTAGACCCGGCCTCTCTTAAAGCCCCCGCTCCCAGGGCCCAGGGTCCTCAGACGCCCCCTTCTCTGGTGAACGTCTGCAGCTGGGCAATGATCTGACATCAATGCCATCTTAGGAATCCCCCAAACACCAGATTATTACAAGGCTCCCACATGCCAAGTCCGTGCCCAGCCCCGAGAGGCACATCTAGGTAGTTCCTGCCCCAACGGTGTTGGCCACTCGACTGGCAAGCTCAGCTGGTACAGGAGACACGGACATTGCAGGTGGATCCAGGGTGGACGTTTTCCCTGGAGACACGGGAGATTTAGAATAAAACTGTCAAAGGCTTGGTAGACTCTCAGCTGTGAATATGTCTGGTGGTGAATGTGTCTGATGCTATAAAAATCAATATTGAGAGGCATCACTGACTCAGTGGACATGAATTTGAGCAAACTCCAGGACGGAGGAGGCTGGCGTGATGCAGTCCCTGGGGTCGCACAGAGTCAGACACGCAAGGCTTGGTCTCTAAATGTTTGTGACCAACTTTTCACATGTGCCCTGTATTGGAAGCTCATGTTCACCAATCAAGATTCTTTTTACACAGATCTCAGTTCAACATCAGGGGACATGTGGGTAATTAGAAACGTTTATTCAAAACTTAATTAAGGTACAAATCTCTTGCTGAGATCTAAGCACTTTTATTGGGACAGTATTTGTATCAACAGGTATTGACAGGACACCTTGGACAGGCGTTGGGAGAACTCTTTGGTCACCGTGATCTAACTGGTAAGTTACATAGTTGAGAGGTGGATAATTATAAGATCTGCTAAATTTATTTGTTTAACTGGTGGTTGGCTTTTTGTCCTACATTATCTTAAGATGTTAGCTCGGTTGTGCGGTACCTGGGTTGCCTCTGTTACCAGGTGACCGCCAGCCCGATTGTTTCACAGTGGTGATGTAGCGACTTCCGAGGCCCTGGTGTTAATCCAGTGTCTGTGGAGTTACCGCTCACACGTAGGGCTTCCCAGGTGGCTCAGTGGTAAAGAATCTGTCTGCCAGTGCAGGAGATGCAAGAGATGTGGATTTGATCCCTGGGTTGGGAAGATCCCTGGAGGAGGAAATGGCAACCCACTCCAGTGTTCTTGCCTGGAGAATGCCATGGACAGAGGGGCCTGGCGGGCTACAGTCCATGGGGTGGCAGAGAGTCAGACACGACTGGGAAGCTAAGTGCACTCTGACATATTGTACTAAGAGCTTCCACTGCACCACGTTCCTCCAGACCAGGGGTCACATCTTCCTTTACCTGGGTCCCCAGAAATGCTAATTCCTGATACACAGGTGAGAAAAGAATGCATTCAACAATGGCCAAAATTAAACACACGTTAAGACTTGATAGGAGTTGCTGAATTATTGACTTTACAAACTAATTCTTTATGAGCCCGTAATGAGCATAATTATGTATTCCAAATGAATATAACAAAGTAGCAGTATTCATTCTAATTAACTATTAGGGTCTATAAGGAATCGAATTATTAAGAATTGCATGAAAGTATTTTGAATGTCAGCGATATGTCTACAAACAGCAATGCGCACATATGTGTGTATGAATATACACACTCACTCTCGAGTAACCGCGAACTATTCCGGAATATGGGCTCACGTTCAGCTTGGAGAAGACTGACTTTCCGCGGCTTCTGTGCTTTTTGCCCCTTGTTTCAGAGAGTGGTCAGAGCGTGGGGACAGGCTGGAGGCGGTGATGAGCGTTGGCCCCTCACGTTCGTGCTGGTACTCAGGGTGTCAGTTGCAGAGTAGTTTTTCAGCCAGGGGCGGGCGGGTGGGAAGCCTCACGGCCCATTTTCCTGGCTGCTTTTGATTTACAGACTGCTGAATCAGAGCTTCAAAACTGGCCTGGGGAACTTGAGAAGCAGCTTGAGTTTGTGCCCAGCTCCCTCCTAAGCCGAACGGCTCTCTTAGGGTTCAGATCAGTTTGCTGGTGTCCTTTTCGGCGGTCTGGATCTCCGGGGCCGGCTCGAGTGTCTTGGCAGCGTCCTGAGACGACGCGGCCCCGGCGGTGTGTCGGGAGACGCTGCCCGGCTCTGCTCCGCGGCAGGACCTCGGCGCAGAGGGGCTGCGGCAGGTGGGAAACCGTGCCAGGCGCTGGCTCCCACCCGGTGGAGGCTCAGTCTCAGGCACAATGTGACGGCCAACATCAGCAGAGGGCTGCAGGCTCGGAGGGGAGACCACGGGAGGCCGGGGTCCACGCCTCTGAGAGTCTCCAGACCCAGCAGGACGCGGCTCGCTTTGGGTGGGGGCAATGCTTCTGGATTTCATCTCCACTGAGAGTAGATACGTGCAGACGGGGGACCTGGGCGCTGGTGAAGGAGGCCAGCCTGAGACCCTCAGGCTCCAGCCGTGGCTCAACATCTTAGGCGCCCGGAGCAGGACGCAGGTCCTGTCCTCCTGCGCCCATCCTGGCCGACACGTGGTCCCTGTGCCTCCAGCCCGGGCTGCCCTCCTGGCAGCTTGCGGCTCAGAGGCTGAACCATGCGGTCCCAGCAGCGTGGCGCTCCATTGCCCGGTCACCCTGGAGAAACTTCATCATGGGCAGGATGTGTCACAATGAGTCACTGAAGGATGCAAACGGCCCCGGCGATGGAGCAGAGCGGGCGTGCGGCCATCTGTTCCGAGCGCCGGCCTATGCTGGCACTGTGGGCGCTGACTCACTCCTCGCCAGATGAGGACCACGGCTGGGTGTCAGATGACGGCCCCTGGGCAGCCAGGCAGGATGTGAGCAGCCCACCCTCCTGCCCGGGGGCCCGGGGCTCTGGCTCAGTGGGTGGGCAGGGGCAGCAGCTGGCACAGCCCGGGACCTGCTCCCCCCGCACACACACAAACACCCTCCCTCTGTTTTTCCTCTGCTGCAGCTGTGACGTGCAGAGTGTGTAGTTATTACCAGCAGAAGCGCCGGAATGGGGAGACACGAGCGTGTGTGTGTGTGTGTGTGTGTGAGGGCCGCCTCGCTGCCCACTGCGTGATGCCCCTACCTGACCCTGGGGTCGCCTTGGCTAAACCTTCAGTCCCGCCACTCCCTCGCCTGCTGCAACCCTGGAGTTGTCTGGCCTAAACTAGGCGTGGAGGTATTTTTGAGGGACAGTGCAACAATCCTGACTTCTCTTCACCTGAGCTGCTGGTGGAGAAAAACTCCCTTTCAATGGATCTGACCTGGGAGCGCGTTCTGAGCTTCTCATTTTGCATCCACATGCTGTGCAGAGCACCCCCAAAATCTGGAGCTGGAAGCCTGAGTCCTTCCCACCCACATCCACCCATGGAGTCAGAGGACAAACCCCAAGGAGTCACACCAACCTCAGGGACTAGTTGCGGCGACTGTGTCAGTAAATTAGGAAAGTGGGCCCAGGGCTCTATGGAGAGCGTGCCTCTGGGTGGGATAACTTGGAATTTAGCTCCTGGGCATTGCCATAAACCGGCTTTGATTCTGGAATCCATCCTAATCATTGGGGCTACGAGTTGGGAGGATTCATACCAGAAATGGCAGGAGGCTGTTGGGTTTCTCCGGAGTTAAACTCTTGGCGTCTTGGTGGTCTCGAGGGAGAGGTCACAGGACTGTGAGCATCCTTCCTGGATCCTGGATCCAGGCCCCTCGGACCACTCATCCCCCGGGGACTATGGCCTGTCCAGCCTCGCCTCTGTTGGCCTCACTCTGGGAACACGGCCCTTCCCTTCCTTCTGGGGAACTTTCAGACCAAAGTGGGGTCCCTCCTTCCCCCTCGCTCTCCTGCCCTCCGGAATCCGCCATCACCTCGGCCTGGAAGGTGCACGGGGGCCGGATCCTTCTCTGCCTCACCTGCCCGGGCCTGGGCCATTGCCCCGCCTCTATAGCCCCCAGGCAGCCTCCCGCCTGGTCCCCCGTGTCTGCCCAGCAGACACTCCCAACCCGGCAGGAAAACTCAGCTCTTAGAGCAGGAGGTGAACAAACGATGCTAGTTTGACCCCTGATGACCCACTCTCTGTCTGCTGCGAATGTCCCCTGGCCACGCCCCCCAGAAGTGGGAGCCCGGGTCCTCACAGACACCTTCAAGCCACCCTGCCCTTCTGGGGGTCCTCCCTCCTGGGAGCCAGCCCGTTCTCCCCAGGGGAGCCGCCCGGCTCCTGGGCTGGATGGCCTCCTACTTCAGGGCCTCTGCACCTGCGGTTCCCTCCACGGGAGAGCTCTGTCCCGTGTCCTTCATGCTCCCTCTTCACCCTGCAGAGCCGTGCTCCGGCCAGCTGGGACTGCACGTCCCTGGGCGCCTCTCCTCTGCGGGCATCTCCCGCTGTCCTGGTCTCCAGGAGCCAGCGGCTCCCCGTCTGCCTCTCCCACTGGAGGTGAGTCCTGCAAGGAAGGGGTCTCTGTGACTCACTGTTGGACCCTCTTCCTAGGTTGTTTTTCAGTTGCTCAGTCATGTCTGACTCTTTGCGGCCCCATGAACTACAGCACACCAGGCTTCCCTGTCCTTCACTGTCTGCCAGAGTTTGCTCAGACTCATGCCCATTGAGTCAATGATGACATCCAACCATCTCATCCTCTGTCATCCCCTTCTCCTCCGCCTTCAATCTTTCCCTGCATCAGGGTCTTTTCCAGTGAGTCGGCTCTTCACATCAGGTGGCCAAAGGATTGGCGTTTCAGCTTTAGCATCAGTCCTTCCAATGAATATTCCGAGTTGATTTCCTTTAGGATGGATTGGTTGGATCTCCTTGCAGTCCAAGGGACTCTCCAGAGTCTTCTAGGAGGGATGGACAAGTGAGACCCTGCTGAGATTCCAGAGCCAACACCTGGCTGAGACTGGAGCCTGGCCAGCAAAGTCAGCTCTCCCCACAGAGATGATGTCCCTCCGCCCGTGACCACAGAGCCAGCACGTGGCCTTGGGGGCCACGTCTCACAGAGACCGTCTCCCTGTGAGGTGCGTCTATCAGGACCCGCTCTTCTCTCGAGGGTCACCAGAGGTGAGCTCATTAGCTGGCCTCATCGAGTGGAAAGTTCAGCTGCAAACAAGAGAAGGCAACGTTGGCAATCACGCTCACCTGTCCTTGAGCACGTGTCTTATGGAGGGTTTCTTCCCACAGTGCTTTGTTAGACCATGGTCTAGGAGGAGAGGACTTCACTGTGTAATTTAATTGCGTTATGTAGACTTCTCACCACTCGCTACAGGGACACTCACATGACTTTCCACTTGTGGATTTTTATCTGCCTATGAATCATTTATAATTACTGCTGCATTTGCACTGTACGCTGTCCACTTTTTAAAATAATTTTTCAAGTATGGTTGGCTCTAATCTTCCCAGGCACCTTGTCAAGTTTTAGAGTGGATACAAGACCTCGGGGCACAGCTGGCCTTGAAACGCTGGGAGAGGACAGAGGCGGCTGCCCTGGGCCGCCGTCAGGTCAGGGCTGACCTTGGCCTCCCGGGAGCAACCCTGACCTTGGCCTCCCGGGAGCAACCCTGAGCAGAGACAGCAGGCCGAGCAGAGATGCTGGATCTGGACCAGGGCGGCTGGAACACACAGTCCTGGAGACGGGTGAGCGGTGACTCAGGGTGGAGACAGTGGTGGCTGGTCCCCTTCGAGCTGCTGTTTTAGCAAACGCTGATGGGGCAGTGTGGCCGGTGGAGGTGCGGTCCCAGGAGACCCCAGGAGCCCTGATGTGTGGTCCAGCGGGTTATCCCTGAGCCCTCGGGGTCACAGGTGCCGCTGTCGCCCTACCGACTAGCTCCTGATGGCGTAGACCCAAGGCGGAACCGCCCTGGGACACTCTTTATCGAGTCTGCGGCCTGGGTCCCTGCTCTCAGGAGAGTGTCGGTGCAAAAGAGACGCCGAGCCTGGACGCCTCTCAGGGGCCGAGCGCTGCTGGCCCCTGGGCCCCGGGCCCGCCTCTCCCCACTGCAGGGCTGGGCGCCTGGGGGGCCACTTGCACCCAAATCCGAGCGCGGCAACCTCCTGATGGAGGCGGGAGGGGTGCTGGGGTGGGGCAGGATGTGGGCTGGGGAAACGCCCGCCAGGAGGTGGCCCCACCACCCAGGTGAGTGCAGAAAGACTGGGAGGGCCTCGCTCGCAGGCAGACGGGCAGTGGGGAGGCCCCGGGACCGGGCGTGCGGGCGGGCGCGCGGGCAGTCACACGGGCGGGCACATGGGCAGTGGGGAGGCCCTGGGACCGGGCGTGCGGGCGGGCGCGCGGGCAGTCACACGGGCGGGCACACGGGCGGGCACACGGGCGGGCACACGGGCAGTGGGGAGGCCCCGGGACCGGGCGTGCGGGCGGGCACATGGGCAGTGGGGAGGCCCCGGGACCGGGCGTGCGGGCGGGCGCGCGGGTGGGCACACGGGCGGGCACACGGGCGGGCACACGGCAGGCACACGGGCAGTGGGGAGGCCCCGGGACCGGGCGTGCGGGCGGGCGTGCGGGCGGGCACACGGCGGGCACACGGGCGGGCACACGGGCAGTGGGGAGGCCCCGGGACCCGGCGTGCGGGCGGGCGCACGGGCAGTCACATGGGCAGGCACACGGGCAGGCACATGGGTGGGCACATGGGCGGGCACACGGCAGGCACACAGCCAAGCACATGGGTGGGCACATGGCAGGCATATGGCGGGCACCTACTGTAACGGGGACGCCAGTGTGTTGTGAGCAGAGCGACTTGCAGCAGGAGGTGAAAGGCCGCTGTGGCCTGCACCCCGCCAGCCCCCTCCCCAGACAGCAGCCTCAGAAGGTCTGCTGCCCCAGCAGACACTGGGGGTCTTGGACAGCATGTTGCAGTTTGGAGTTTTCCAGAAATTATTCTTGAAAAGCCTAATGTTTGCTTTATCAAAAGAATATGTGTTTATGCAGGAAGTCTGGCAGTACCCAGAAGCTTATGTAAGATGACCACACCCCTCCCCACACCCTGTCGGCCCCCAGCCCTCTGGGTGCAGGGTCCACCCCGTCCCAGACGCGTCCAGAGACTCACCCTGAGTGGGGCGGTGGCTCCCAGACTGAGCAGGCTGAGGGGAGACCAGGGGGAGGTGGGGGACACCGGGGGCTGATTCAGGTCTAGCAAGTCCAGATGACTCCCATCTGAACAAGACCTGATCCTGTGGACCACCCTCTCCTTCTGCAATGAATTATTCTCTGGACCTTGCTTTTTTAAATGTTGTTTTATTTATTTTAGACTTTCTCTATTGAGTCGTGGCCTTTCACCCTCCCTGACGCCAGATCCCTACTCCTACCTTCCCTGTTTCTGCAGTGGAATTCTGGCAGTTGGGTAAATCCATGTTCAGGGCTCAGCAATTTCAATCTCTCGCTGTCTCTTGTGCACACACATGCACGCGCACACACACGTGCTCAAACACAGAGGACAGAGGCTCATGGAACTTTTGCCTCTGGGTGAAGAGTGATAATTGCCTTGGATTTTCACTTGCTTAGTTGTTTTGAACTTTTCACTATTTCAGTACCAGCTCTGAAATTCTCAATGGGGTCAACACATCTCATAAACTGTGAGCCTCCTCTCCGCATCCTTCTTTGTTTTCTGAGACCTTTCTGCCCACCCCTCCTCCTGGCCGGTTACTCCCAGGCTGGTGAACACTGTGGCCCAGAATCTCTCCGACGTTCTGGGGTGTCTCTCTGCTCATCTCCTAGGTTCTTTGAGTTGACACTCTGCTTTTTCTGATTATTTTGTTATTCAGTTGCTAAGTTGTGTCTGACTGTTTGCAGATCCTGCAGACTGCAGCACGCCGGGCCTCCCAGTCCTTCACCATCTCCCGGAGCTTACCAGAACTCATGTCTGTTGAGTCAGTGATGCCATCCAACCATTTTATCCTCTGTCGCCCCTTCTCCTTTGACTATATGGACCTTTCTCAGCAAAGTGATGTCTCTGCTCATTAATACACTGTCTAGATGTGCCATAGCTTTCCTTCCAAGGAGCGAGCATCTTCTAATTCCATGACGACAGTCACCATCCGCAATGATTTTGAAGCTCAAGAAAATAAAATCTGTCACTGTTTCCATTTTCCCCGCATCTTATTTGCCATGAAGTGATGGGATCAATGCATGACCTTAGTTTTTTGAAGGTTGACTTTTAAGTCAGCTTTTTCACTCTCCTCTTTCACCTTCATCAAGAGGCTCTTTAGTTCCTCTTTACTTTCTGCCATTAGAGTGGTATCGTCTGCATACTTGAGGTTGTTGATGTCTCTCCAGCCAATCTTGATTCCAGCTTGGGGCAGAGAGGGTTCTGCAGTTCTAGCAAGTCCTCAGGCGATGTCACTATTCCACATCCATGGACTGCACTCTGAGTAGCCAAAGTCTGGCTAACAAGGAAGTTCCTGGACCCCATCACTACTCTCCCAAAGCTCGTGGGTGTCAGTGTGGCCTGCCCAGGGGTGAGCTTGCAGCTGAAGAGGAGCTTGAGTGGGGGGCAAGGAGCAGGGCCAGTTCCCTGGGCATCCCGAGAGGCCCACGGGCAGAACCCAGGCACCCTGGAAACCACCCGCTACCCCTGCTAGGCCAGTTTTAGTGCTGTGGATCACTGTCAGGATTATTTGAATTTCATTATGTTTTGAATTTGCAGAATGGAGTTATTTCTATTTGCCAGCCTCAGCACACAGGGTTAGGCCGTGGAACGGCTCAATACACAAGCAGTCTGAAACCAGAAGCCTTATGCAAAGAGAAATGAAAGGGCCCCTGAGTTACACGTTCAGGTTTCAGGAAACAGTCTGCAATCCAAAGGAATCACTCGGGTAACAAGGCGCAGAGCCGCGCACGGCTGACAGAACGCAGCCCGTGTACGTGTCCAATTCCCTATTTCACGTGTGGAGAGGCAAGGACAGATGGGGGAGCAGAGGATGAGCTGTTGAATAATTATGTTAAATACGACACAAATGGGCCCCGGCTCCATCTCCAGCTCTCAGAGGGGGTCCTGCTTACACATAATTGTGCCTCAGAGCTGCACACGGGAAGGCTCCATTCCATCAACATGCTGCAGGATTTGAAAGGTAACCCTTCTCACTCCAACTGCTTTTCTAAATACAGCATCCTCAGGGGTGACTGTCTCCCAGAGGCAAAATGTTGAAGGAGAAGAAGAAACAGTAAACGCTGCCCCTCCCCACCCGCGCCCCACGGCTGCTCCCGTCACTGCTGTTGGGACATCAGTATTCTTCTCTCTCCACGCCATCCTTTCCTCACTTTGCGGACAGTGTCTAGAGCATCACTGTGGACGATGGACCATAAAGAAGGCTGAGCCCCGAAGAACTGATCCTTTCAAATTGTGGTGCTGGAGGACTCTTGAGAGTCCCTTGGACAACAAGGAGATCAAGCCAGTCCATCCTCAAGGGAAATAAGCCTGAATGTTCACTGGAAGGACTGGTGCTGAAGCTGAAGCTCCAATACTTGGACTACCTTCGATGATGCGGTGAGCAATTCATTGGAAAAGACCCTGATGCTGGGAAAGATTGAGGGCAGGAGGAGAAGGGGACGACAGAGGATGAGATGGCTTGATGGCATCACCGACTCAATGAACACGAGTTTGAGCAAACTTCAGGAGATGGTAAAGGACAGGGAAGCCTGGTGTGCTGCAGTCCATGGGGTTGCAAAGTGTTGGACACAAGTTAGCAAATGAAAAATAACAACACAGCCTCTGTTGATGTGCTTACCAAGAAATTAAGATGCTGTCTAGCACAAAGCAGGTTTTCTGTGGGGGTAGGTAAGCCCTGGGGCCAGGGATCCCCTCACCTGAAGAGGGGGGAGGTGCAGGTTGACCTCTGTGTCCATCCACCCCCCCCCTCCACTTTCTTCACAAAGGTCTGCCTGGGGCTATGGTTGTGCCTGTCAATCGGCTTTAGCCATTGGCCAACCCAAGAGCAAGATGGCTTTAGCCAGTGAATGATGCTCAGTTTGGTTCAGCTCCCAGGAGATAGCCTTTGGCTGGAGAATGCAGTTATTCTTAAGACTGATTCTTTGGTAAAAATATGTCCCTGAGGCCACCACGTGCCTCTGTCTGAGCCCAGGAATGGGCCTTGCATGTCTTCCTCCCCCTCCTGCTGCGAGAACCACCTGAGATGAAGGCACATATTCTTCATGCAAATATTTACAGAAGGTATTGATTTTCTATAGTTGCTGTGGCAAAGGACCACACAATCCTGGCTCAGCAATGCAGATTTATGATCCTGCTGGTTCTGGGGACCAGAAATCCAGTATGGGTCTCTGTAGGACTGCCCTCCTCCTGAAGGCCCTAGGAAGAACCTGTCCTCTTGCCCTGCCCTTCTTCTTGGAGCTGCCTGCATGGCTTGGCCTTGGCTCCTTATTGCATCTCCAGGGCCACGCCTTTCTTCCTTACTCTCTCCTCTGAATCATTTCTTCCCCCTCCTCCTTCCACTCACAAGGATCCCTGCGATTACTCTGGGCCCAGTGAAATCTGGGCTCACTGGCTGAGCCAGGGTCATCCCGCCACCTCAAGGTCAGCCATTAACCACCCTGAATGAATCTGCTGCCTTGGTTCCCTTCCGCAGGTGACCTAGACACCCACGGGCTCTAGGCGGGAGGTCCAGGACATCTTGGGATGGAGGAGACATCATCCTACCTCCCGAACGAAGCTTCCTGGTGATAACCAAAACTAGAGATGGTCCAAATCCCCACTGACTCGCATGTATTTCATTTTCTCGAACTTTTACTGTCTTGCCTTTTATATGCAGGCTCTTGATCCATCTGGAGTAGATTGTTTTTATTGAGATATAGTCGATTGAGAATGTGGTACCAATCTCTCTGTACAGTGAAGTGGCCCAGTTATATCTACATTTATTCTTTTTTAAATATTCTTTTCCATTATGGCTTATTCCAAGAGACTGGCTATAATTTGGAGTAGATTTTTGTATATAAGGTTGAGATCAATGTTTGTTAATTAATTAGTTTATATTAGTTGTTGGTCAGTCACTAAATTGTGTCCAACTCTTTTGTGACCCCATGAACTGTAGACCTCCAGATTCCCCTGTCTGTAGGATTTCCCAGACAGGAATGCTGGAGTGGGTTTCCATTTCCGTATTTAACCATATGAATATCTAATTTATACAAGTCTGTTTACAAAAGGCCACTATTTAACAGTATACTTGAGCAACATATTTTATAACAAATAAGGTTTTTTTCTCATATACTTTTGTCTCTGTTTGCTTTAAATATCTTGGAGGTTTAAATATACACTAATATAAAATTTCCACAGCTTTCTTTTAATCATCCATAAAACTAAAATAACTAAGTATAAATCTAAATCTGACAAAATGTGTTCACCATTTACTCATATAAACCTACAAAACTGACTAAAGAAATCAAAGAATTTAAATACAAAGGAGAATTCCATGCTCATGAGTGGAAAGACTCAGTACTGTTCACCTATTGATTCTTTCCCAGTTGACTTACAGATTCAACACAGTCTCAACCAAAACCCCAGGGACACAGTTTGCAGATGTTGGCAAACTGATCCTAACGTTTCCATGAGAAGCAAAGACCGGGAATGGCTGACACAGTGATGAGGAAGAACGGTGAGGTCGGAGCACGTCCGCAGCCCGATCTCAAGTTCACCATGAAGCGGCAGGAACCCAGTCCTGGTGTGATGGGAGCACAGATGCACAGATCAGAGGGTCAGAATGGGGAGCCCAGGCATGGAGCCACACAAATGCATCCAACTTACTCCTGGAGAAGGACTGGGACAGTTAAATGGAAAATGCGTAGTCTTTTCTGTAACAGCTGGGCATTCACCTGCAAAAAAAATGAGTCAAGATGCCTTACATCCTTCACAGACATTAATTCGAAGCTCATCATGGGCCTAAATGTAAAACACAATAGTTAAAGAAGTTCTAGAAGAAAGCTTAGCAGACAAACTAGAGGGCCTTGGGTTTGTTGATATCGGATATGATGTGGAAATCAATGCTGAATATTATTGGAAGGACTGATGCTGAAGCTCCAATACTTTGGCCACCTGATGCAAAGAGCTGACTCACATGAAAGACCCTGATGCTGGGAGAGGCTGAAGGCAAGAGGAGAAGTGGGCAACAGAGGGTGAGATGGTTGGGTGGCATCACCTACTCAATGGACATGAGTTTGAGCAAGCTCCGGGAGATGGTGAAGGACAGGGGAGCTGGGCGTGCTGCAGTCCATGGGGTCGCAAAGAGCTGGACATGACCTAGCTACTGAGCAACAACAGCATGATGTGGTGTCCAGTGGGATCTGGGACAAACAGGCACAAAATCAGGGAGTCTTTGTAAAGTATGGTAAAGTGTATGTAAAGTCTATGTAAATAAAATATGTAAAGTATTTTAAAGTATTAAAATACTTTGTAAAGTATTCGATTAATACAATGTTCTGATGTTGATTCATTTATTGTTACAGATGAACCTGACTGAACTGCGATGTGGATGATCCATGAAAGCAGGTTCAGGGTAGATGGAAACTCTTTGCAACTTTTCTGTAATTCTACAGCCATCCTTAAAATAAGTTTTTTGTTTTTTTTTCTTATATAAAGCGGACATATCGTTGTTACTTCTCAAGAAAGAAAAAAAAAGTTTGACAACATGGGGTCTGCAAGAAATCTGGTTATTCAAAATCAACATAGAATTTTAACGCATGTATAGCATATTCATGCAGGCCTCCCAGATGGCGCTAGTGGTAAACAATTAGCCTGCCATTGCAGGAGACACGAGAGGCGGGAGTTCCATCTCTGGGCTGGGAAGATCCCCTGGAGTACGAAGCGGCAGCCCACTCCAATACTCTCTCCTGGGCAATTCCATGGACAGAGGAGCCTGGCGTGCTCCATGCATCCATGGGGTCGCAAAGAGTCGGACACGACTGAGCGACTAAGCAGAGCGTACACAGGCGCATTTTATAGGACATATATATGTTTATTGGCAAAAAACCGCCTTCAGCCAGTGCCTTTGAGCCAACACTCACTTCCTGCTGGCCCCAGGAGCCACGGACGCTGTCCTGGGCAGAGATTACACGACTCCTGTAATTTCGTCCCCTCTCGCTCTCTGATCAGATAAGTGAGGCCCTGACAGCAAATTTGAACGCGTGTTTCTCCTGTAGATTTTGACAGAGTGCTGTTATTTCCTGTGTAGGAACAGTCCAATTTCCTGCCCACCATTTCAGGTTTTCTGCCGGGATGCAGGATAACATCTCCTGGCCACTCTGAGTGTGGTTTGAACTCTGAAGATGTCTGATGGAGGAAGTGATTGAATCCATTCTTTCCACCCCAAACTTAATGTCGAAATGATTACTCATCTCTCTACTCATAATGCCTATATTGCATGCTGGGGTTGGAAATACAGAAATCTAATTAAAACCTCCCACTGCTTTTAACACCCTAAGTGCCACGCCAGGCTGGTTTTGCAAAGCACAAATGCTCTGAGTCTTTGTTCATGAGCGAACGTCGCGGGTTCGATGCCTTGGTTTTCTGGAAGGAGCCTAGGAGTGTGAACGTCAGCTTCTAACTGAGGAGAGAAAACCTTTAAGAATTTGGCCTGCAGTGGTCCCACTTGCTCTCTGCCGACACCAACTTCGTGTGTGCAGGCAGACGCTGAGACCAGGGGCTCTTCACTGCAGCCAGTCAGAACCGCATAAGCTGCTGTGTCCCCGCAGGAGAGGTCATTTTCCATAAAATGTCAGGTGAAGCCCTGAAACATGCCTTGCATAGCACTTGCAATGCTTTGTCAATGACTTACGATGAAGACTGCTCAGCCCTGCCCCGAGGAGACCTCGGCTTCTCAGGAGATAAACGCACCCTCTTTGGTCACCTCCTGTGGGCAAGAACCAGGACCCATAGCTTTTCTGTTTTTAAATGTGGATTTCTGCTTGTATTAGCACAAACAAAATTCTTCTGTGTGGTTCATGTTCTCAAGAAAATAAAGATCATGGACACTTATTAGTATCAGAGAGTTCACTACGAGCTCTCAAAATCTGATTTTTGAGTTATTAATCTGAATTTCACTATTATCCTGCCAAAAAGACACTGTTCTTGTTTTCAAGTAATGATATAGGGAACCCACAAACTAAAAACGTGATTCAGAATGAGGAGTGTTAACACAGATTTGGTAAAAATTGCTGTCTTATTTGGGATTTTCTGCTGGCTCAGGTAGTAGAGAATCTGTCTACAATTCTTGGGTTCAGTCCCTAGGTTCAGGAGACTTGGGTTCAATCCCTAGGTTGGGAAGATCCCCTAGAGTAGGAAATGGCAACCTGCTTCAGTGTTCTTGCCTGGAGAATTTCATGGACAGAGGAGTTGGCAGAATACAGTCCATGGGGTCGCAGAGTTGGAATGAACGAAAGAGCATACACACACACAGGGTCTTAGTTGATCGTGGTGGGAAGCATTGTTTTAAGCATTTACTGTGGTGACAAACCCATGAGGACATTTCCAATTCCCAGCATCTCTTTCCACCTTCAGGGTGACTCTTGAGGACAGAGCACGGGAATGGGACAGGGCGGGACATGGAGGGGAGGGTTTACGAGACAGGACTGGTTCACGGAGCAGGGCCCAGACGGCATCCAGAGGCAGCCTTCAACCTCCTCTGCCAACTGAGTATGTGTCATTTTGGTGACAAGCAGCTTTGTCTTTTTTTTAACTTTGAAGGGGAAATTTTTAATTTTAAAATGTCCGCAGGAAATAGAGATATTGGGAAGCGGACTGTAGTTCTTTGTGTGACTTGTACAAGCAAACGACGCAGAAGCTGTGGGCCGTGCCTATGCGGGCCCCTGAAGCGTGTCGCCGCTGAACCGATCGCCGAGACACCAGGAGGCCTGCAGAGCGTGTCTGAGCCCCTGTCGCTGGCGTCAGCACCGCTGCGCGTGCTGGCGGTGCCCCTGCTTCCAGGCTGGTCGTGGCGTCCTTGTGGGTGGAACCGGGCTCACTGGATCCAGCGCAGCAGGAGAAACACAGACGGCCACTCTGGGCGGGCGGTCTCCATCTGGGTCCCTGCTCTGAGCCCGAGCTGCTCAGTCCCCACCAGAGAGAGGCCAAAGGCTGCCAGCCTGTCTGCGGTCCAGCTTTGGGCCTTCTGCCCACGGGTCAAACCTCCGGCCGCTCAGCACACCGTTCAGCCCACCCCCTCATGATGTTTGCCGGCTTCTCCCCTACTCCTGCCCTGGGACTCTGCTCAGGGTCCTTCTGACCGACTGCAAGGGGCTGACCATCCCCAACCCTCAGAGGGGCCTGGTGGAAGGCGCTTTTCACAGTTGAGAAAGCTCTGAGCCTGCCCTGTTTCCTGGAGGCTGACAGTACATTTGCAAATGGAACTGCAAAATACTAAGAAGAGGGCAGGGCACCCATGCAGAGGTTTTTAAATTTCAGCAAGAGCCAGTTGTTGGGTAAACTTTCCAGCTTTATCCCTGGTAGAAGAACTCTTGCTGTTAGAGCCTGGCACGTCTTTCCCTCTCTTTTCATTTATTCTGCTTTCAGGTCACTACTTGCCTCTAGACTTAATTTTCTCAGGCTCCAAAATCACTGTGGATGGTGACTGCAGCCATGAAATTAAAGATACTTGCTCCTTGGAAGAAAAGCTATGACAAACCTAGACAGTGTATTAAAAAAAAGAGACATTACTTTGACAACAAGGGTTTGTCTAGACAAAGGTTTGTCTAGTCAAAGCTATGATTTTTCCAGTAGTCATGTATGGATGTGAGATTTGGACCACAGAGAAGGCTGAGCACTGAAGAATTGATGCTTTCTAACTGTGGTGCTGGAGAAGCCTCTTGAAAGTCCCTTGGACTGCAAGATCAAGCCAGTCAATTCTAAAGGAAATCAACCCTGAATATTCATTGGAAGGAATGATGCTGAAGCTGAAACTACAATACTTTGGCCACCTAATGCGAAGAACTGACTCATTGGATAAGACCCTGATGCTGGGAAAGATTGAAGACGGGATGACAGATTGAAGGGGATGACAGAGGATGAGATGGTTGGATGGTATCACTGACTTGATGGGCGTGAATTTGAGCAAGCTCTGGGAGTTGGTGATGGACAGGGAGGCCTGGCGTGCTGCAGTCCATGGGGTCACAAAGAGTTGGACACGACTGAGTGACTGAACTGAACTGAAATGAAACCTCCTGTGGATGGCCACTGACCCAGTGGGTGAGGCATATCCTCAGGCCTGTTGCTGACCTACCCACCTCTTTTAAAATCTGCTGATAGGGTGAATTGCATCAATTGCTTTTTGAATGTTGATTTAGCCTTGCATTCCTGAAATAAATCTTTTGTGGTTATGTTTTATTATCCTTTTTACATTTTGTTGGATTGTATTTGCTGCAACTTTGTTGAGGGTATTTACATCTATGTTCATGAGCAATATTTGTCTGCAATTTTCTTGTAATGTCTTTCTGTTTTTATTTTTTTTATCATAGTGACACTGCTCATGTATGATGACTTGGGAAGGGATCCCTCTTTTCAGTTTCCTTAGAGTTTGTGTACTCAAAGCAATTTTTCTTCCTTAAATTTCTGGCATAATGTGGGAGTGGAGTTTCATTTGTGAAAAGTTTCTTAACTGGAAAATCAATTTTTGACAGAATATGATCATTCAAATTATGTTTCTTCCAAGTGAGCATTTACAGTATGTGTCTTTCAAGGAATGTACCTATTTTATTTATCTAAGCTATCTAAATTTATAAGCACATTATCATATTTCCTTATTATACTTTTAATTTTGGTAGGATCTAAAGCAATTTTTCCTCTTTCATTTTTATACTGGTAATTAGTGTTTTTTTTTCCTTGGTCCACTTGGACAGAGGTTTATCAGTTTCTTTGATCCTTTTGTAGCACCATTTCTTTTCTGTTATTTTTGTCTTTTCGGCTCCATTGCTATCTGGTCTTGTTATTTTCTTCCTTCTGCTCACATTGATTTTTAACTTACTTTTCTCTTTCTACTTTCTTATGAAAGTAGCTTAGGTCATGGATCTGAAATATTTTATTGTTTCTAAAGAAGCATTTTAAGGCTATAAAATTCCTTTCTAAGAGTTAGCTGCATCACACATGTTTTTTTTTTAATTTCTTATAACTGAATATATTTTTTCAATCTCTTTATTTTGTTTGACCTGTGATTTATTTAAAAACCTGTTTACCAAATATTTAGGGATTTTCCTAATGATTTCATGTTCTCTATTCTTATTTAGTTCTATTATGATCTGGCTAAGTGGTAAAGAATCTGTCTGTCTATACAGGAGTCACAGGAAACTCTGGTTTGATCCCTGGGTTGAAAGAATCCTCTGGCGGAGGAAATGGCAACCCACTCCAGGCTCCTTGCCTGGAGAATCCCACGGACAGAGGAGCCTGGCGGGCTGCAGTCCATGGGGATGCCACGAGTCAGACACGACTGAGCGTGCACGCTCGTTACAGTCTGAGACGTGCTTTGTACGATTTTAGTTTTCTGACATTTGTTAAAACGCGCCCTTTCTGCCTCCGCTGCCACCTTGGCACCTGGAGCTTCGTCTTGACTGTGCCCACCTTGTAGAAGATGAGTCGCGGATGCGGCCAGTCTTAAGCAGTTTCTTCAGGAGAGAATCACAGTGAAAGGAGAAGCTGGGACTCTTGGTGGAAGGGCTGTTACAACCAAGAGAAAGAAAAGCAAGAGTACTGTCACTTCTGAGGTAGCTTCTTTCCCAAAAGGTATTTGAAATATCTCACCAGAGAATATCTGAAGAATAATCTATGTAGTTATGAGTAGTTGCTAGCAGCAAAGAAAATTATAAATAGTGTTACTCCAGATTAACCAATTTGAAGAGGAGGAAAATGAAGAGTAAAACTCAATTATCTGGAATATTTGTATAACTTCTTAAATAAAACAAAGGAACAACAACAACAATAAAAAAGACAACTATGGCTCAGTATACAATTTTGGTAAATACCATATGTTCATACATGTCCGTGCTAAGTCAATCCAGGTGCGTCTGACTCTTTGTGACCCTGTGAATTGTAGCTCATCAGTCTCCTCTGTCCACGGGGTTCTCTAGGCAAGAATACTAGAGTGGGTTGCCATGGCCTCCTCCAGGGGATCTTCCTGACCAAGGACCCAGCCTGCATTTCTTGGGTCTCCTGCATTGGCAGTCAGGTTCTTTACCCCTGGAGCCAATGGGAAGCCCCGAATACCATATTTGTTGTCGGTCAGTCACTCAGCCGTGTCCGACTCTTGGCGGCCCCATGGACTGCAGCATACCAGGTTTCTCTGTCCTTCACCATCTCCTGGAGCTTGCTCAAACTCGTGTCCATTGAGCTGGTGGTGCTATCCAGCCATCTCGTCCTCTGTCACCCCTTTTCCTCCTGCCTTCAATCTTTCCCAGCATCAGGGAAAAATTAAATATGTGCTACATATAAGATATGGAACATAACATATACTATATATTATTAGTCAATATATTGTTTACTATTCCACATACACTTGAAAAGAATATGTATCCTGCTGTTGCTGGGTGAAGTGTTCTGTTGATATGAAGGTCAACTAAGTCAAGTTTGATAATATTGTTGTTCAGCTCATTTGTGTCTTCCATGATTTGTGCCTCTTATTTTAAGTCTAGCTCTGTCTACTTGTTGACAGAGGAGTGTGGAGGTCTCCAACAACGAACTGGATTTGTCTATTTATTCTTGCAGTTCTATTAGCTTTTACTCTATGTACTTCAAATCTTTGTTGTTAGGTGTAGTCACACTTAGAATTAATTTTTATCATTATATAATATCTTTTTATCCTTGGTAATATTTCTTGTTCCAAGACTATATTGCCTGATATTAATATAGCTATTCCAGATTTCTTTTGTTTAACATTTAAATAAAATCTTTAAAAACTGTTTTTACTTTAAACTATATGTGTTTTTGTTATCAAAGTAGATTTCTTGAAATAACATATAGTTGTCTTTTAAAAGTAAATACAATTTAATAATCCCTGCCTTTTAGACCATTTACATTTAATGTAGTTACCAAAATAGTTGCAAGTATGTCTACCACTTTATTGCTTTTTATTTCTTCTATTTTTTGTTCTTCTTCTTCCTATTTCTTGCTTTTTCTCTGGATTATTTGAGTGGTGATAATTAGACAGACAAATAGAAAGAAGTATATATATATAGATAAATTAACATATACTTATATATCTTAGTAATATTATTCATAGAGTAATTAATAATATGATATTATTATTCTATTTGAGTGGACTAGATTTTTGGCATATTCTTTACATCATTCTTTCAGTGACAGAGTTTTTAAAGTACTGCTTTTATGGAATTTATTACACTGTACTATTTAATTAATTTGTCTGGCCCACTAGTTTAATTGAGAACTAAAGTTTTTGCTTTGTTTTACTTTTCTATTTATCACTTAGCACATAAAGAACCTCCTAAAAATGATCCTTGAATAAATTAATGAACTTAAGGTATTCAATAAAACATATAATATTAACCAATTATTTCATTTTATCAGTAGTAATTTCTTTTTTCCAATTACCTAAACAAATAGCCTATAAGTCAATTTTCTTTCTTTCCTTACAAGAAACATTCTAAAAAAAAAAAACAAAAACAAGAACTTCCTGTTCTCTCTTTCCTTAAACTGACTGTTGAGTTGTTCTCCCTCTCTGGTGCTGCTCCGACCAACCTACCAAGCGTGCAGCTCCTGACTTATGATGTCTCCCAGCCTTGCACCCCCAGTGTCTGCCCTTTCTAAACTCAGTGCCTCAAACAAGTCTCAGAGCTGCCTCCCATAGAGTGGACCTTCAGTAAGCATTGCTTAATGAGCAAAACTAGAGCTAGTTTTTTCCCGTCAGATTGGATTTTCACTTTAATGCAATTCTTTCCCCATTTTTGAGTCCATGGGGGGGGGGAGGCAATACCCACAGGCAAAAACCTAGTGGGGCATTTTATCAGGTGGCATAGAGACAGGGAAATAATATTGCCTCTGTCCAATAACTGGAGTTCATGGCAATGGGAGAAGCTATCCAACAGGTACCAGGGACTTTTCAATTGTTTTTAAAAAGCACAATACATTTGTTGTTGCTGTTTCAATTGACTTTTAGGTTTGATACTATTGAAATAGAAATCTCTAAACCAGTGAGCATCTCAGGAAATCAGTTTATATTAAATCCAGA